GGGCGCTTGTGGCAATGAATGGGGATGGGGATGGGATGGGAGGATGGCCCCCAGATGCGCGCCGCCGACTGAATGATCGGCTGCCCGCGATAACCCCCGGGCCACGTGATTGGGCTGGCCGCGGGCTGATCGTCCGGCCTCGATTGCAATGGAACTCTCCCCCAAACAACAACCACGTACCTTGGACGACTGGCTGAGGTCAGGGGGGAATCTGTTCCAGGCCAACGTCCAGGCCAACGTCCAGGCCAGAATCCCTCGTTGCTTTTTCGTCTGCAGAAACCAACGATCAGGCACATTGCATGCATCTCACCAATCCGAGAGCGAACCGCGCGCTTGATATGCTTTGACGCGGCATCTAGTGGGGTTGTGGGATCGGCCCAGGATTCCTCCGTTCAAACCGGAGTACAGCTGGCAATCCTCTCCCCCCGGAGCTATCTCCGTGCTTCTTATCTACTTTGCTGGTTCTACTGGCACCTTCAATGGCCCTGCGCTGAGCTACATCCACCAACGAATCTGTTCAGAATGCTGTTTAACTCAATTGCTTGAATTTCTCTCATCCCTCCAATAAATAATCTCCGACACCATGATCGAGTCGCTCATTAGCGTCGCGTTCTATCTCTCTACGGCGCTTACTATCGGCATTCTCTTGCTGCCTTCGCGGCATGAGTCCAGGCCTGTCACTAGCCAAAATGCGACAAACGAACCCAAGACCACTGTCCAGATTCTCGTGTTAGGGGATATCGGCCGGAGTCCGCGCATGCAGTACCATGCCCTCAGTGTTGCCCGAAATGGTGGACAGGTGGACATAATTGGTTACCATGGTGAGCTACATAATGCGCCCTTATTCTTCTCAGAGTCCCACACTAATCAATTGCTATAGAATCCGACGTGCATCCCGAGATCTCCTCGCATCCGAGAATATCCATTGTCCCCCTGCCGCCGCATCCATCCTGCCTTCAGACAAGCAACAAGCTCCTCTTCCTATTGTTCGGTCCGCTGAAAGTTCTTTTCCAAATCGTCTGCTTGTTTTGGATCTTGGCATGTCGTACAAAGCCAGCCAAATGGCTTCTCGTTCAGGTTGGTTATAACACATCTTGTCCCCGATGCATGGTACCATTGAAGCAGCACTAAGTCGAACCTTTGCCCGTCGCAGAATCCGCCCTCTATTCCCACGCTAGCGATCGCATCCCTCGTCTGCTTCTTGCGTCACACGCAGCTCCTCATCGATTGGCATAACTTTGGTTACACCATCTTGGCACTCAAACTCGGAGACTCCCACCCGTTGGTCAGATTTTCCAAATTATATGAGAAGATCTTCTGCCAATATGCGACGGCGCACTTGTGCGTAACCAATGCCATGGCATCGGTGCTGAAAGACGAGTTTGCGCTGAAGGCGCCCATTCTCCCGCTGCATGACCGACCAGCCGATCATTTCCAGCCCATTCTAGACGATCGCGTACGCCAGGACTTCCTGCGCTCGTTGTCGGAGACGGAATCTGTCCGGCCGATGATTGGATCTGATACGATTCGAGTTCTGGTCAGTTCGACCTCTTGGACAGCGGACGAGGACTTCTCGCTTCTCATAGAAGCTCTGTGTCGGTACTCAGACTTGGCTGAGACGTCAAACCCGGAACTACCGTCGATTCTGGCCATCATAACGGGAAAGGGGCCCCAGCGGGAGATGTATCTGAAACAAATTGCCGATCTGCAGAAAAACGGTAAACTTCAAAAGGCCACCATTCGTACCGCGTGGCTCAGCATGGAAGACTACGCACGATTGTTGGCATCCGCGTCGCTGGGTGTCAGTCTACACACCAGCAGTAGCGGTGTCGATTTGCCCATGAAAGTCGTCGACATGTTCGGTGCCGGTCTGCCCGTCGTTGGCTGGAATCGCTTCGAGGCGTGGCCGGAGCTGGTCACTGAAGGTCGTAATGGACGAGGCTTTGGAAGCTCCGATGAGCTTGTGGAACACCTTGTTGAACTCTTTGGAAACCAGGAAGCACTCGAAAAGCTTCGTGCTGGGGCGCGAGAGGAGAGTTCTCGTCGGTGGGATGACGAGTGGAACCCCGTGGCCGGCAAACTGCTAGGCCTAGTATAATTGAATAGCAAGTGACGACCCTATTGACTGTATAATGAAATATTAGAATATTGGCGTAGCACACACAGCAAACCACACGGACTTTACCTGGAGCATGTCCTCAAGCACGGTATTTGCCATTGCAGTAGACACACGTGTCGAACGCATCGAAGAGCGTCCGGCAGGTATACGATACGTCAGTTTCAGGTGGCTCTATGCTGTCCTCATCTAGATATTCCTTCCCACACGAGGAGCAGACTTTGGAAGATCCGGGGTCCTGAATGGCCAATGACGTCAAGCTACAGCGAACTATTACGGGAAGAAGAGTTAGCATTATGTCCTCTTGCAACGCCTGGAGTGCAGCATCGAACATACCAAAGATGTGGCCTGTGGCACATTGGGCTTCCTCGGTTGAATACCATGCGATCCCAGCGCTGCAGATCTCGCATCGTTCGAACATCTGGCCACCAGGTCCATCAAGCATTACGGCAGGCTTGGGGGCGATCGTCGTCCTAGAAGCCGTACACTTGGAAAGCTCATCGTTCAGATCTACACCCGTGATAGTTGCCAGCCTTACCAAGACTTTGTGAGCTTGGGACAGTAGAGCCTCGTTCTCTGAATCGATAATTGTGCAGCAGGCCGTTGCGTAAAGGATACTCAAAGACAGCGGTTGTCGGTTCTCGTTATTGTCTTCGAAGTGTAGGATGTATCCCAAAGCAGCCTCTCGCTGCTGGCGAAGATGCTCGGGAGAGCTGTTCGACACCGACCGAGATTCGAGTCGGTCAGATTGAGAACCATCGGTTGTCGACATTATGACTGTTAACCTTTCCTCCGCTGCTGTGCGATACTCTATCATATCCCCTGGGTGTACGGTAATACCAGCTGCGATCATTCCCCTGCAGAAAGCCATACCCCAAACCCGGGCAACTGCTAGGCCTCCAAGATCGCGGTCAAAGTCATACCTCTCACGCACATCATCGAGCTGGTCTTTCCATGGGACGGCATGAATCGGGTATTCATCATCGCCATCCCGGAAAGGTACTGCTGCTGTGAATCCTCCGGCCGTTGCTAGATAGAGTACAGGAGCCTGGGAATCGGTGTCCATCGCAACAATCATTGCTTCAGATGTTAGCTAGCGAAGGGGCGGATGGTGCGCACTGCTTACCGGATATTGGCTCTGGGTGCCTAGGAGGTTCCGTTTCGCTATCATTTTCCGAGCTTTCGTAGAATAACAGTTCTTGCAGTCGCACTTGGCCAGAGCTTGGATTAATGCATTGATGGGGCTCTTTAGACGCCTTTATCAATATGAGCCCTGCCAGGGTACCCGCAGCCAAACAGACAGTATGAGAGTCGTCCTATGCAAGTCAGTGCCTGCCCAGCTGTAGCGCTTCTGAAACATACCGTATTCATCCATGCCAATGGCCCTGTAAAGTGATATCCACTCAAGCCTTCGTAGAACTTTGGGGTAATGTCTTTGGAAATAGCCTTGATTTGGGATTGCGGCTGTGAGCCTGTCTCTGGGGGTGGGGACAGAACCTTCACATCCAGGTGAACCACCTTAAGAGCAGTTCCATGAGTGACAGCGAGAAAGCCACTCGCGGATTCCTTTGCATGAAACCATGGGCCCCACGACATGGACAGTATCTTGATTTTGGACCTCAAAATCTCGGAAAAAATCGATGATGGTTGCAGCTTTGGATAATTCTCATCTGTATCCTGAAAAGAGTTGACTGACAAAACGCCGGCTTCATATGGCGCACCGACACCTGTTGGTGGTCTGTGAATTTTCAGCACAACAACATCATTGTCATCGTTTGCGACTGAGAGCAGGTGAAATCCCCAGCGACTCTCGGCAGGTAGGACAGAGTAAGTTGTGATATGCCTTTCGGCTGGCAGTTTAAGCGGCGATGACCACGCGAAAGCACGAATGTTGGATTTCCGCAATAGCATGCCATCCTCCTGGACAGTAGAATTGAAATGGGTCTTTAAAGTGCCATTTAGTATGGCAACCCGAGTCCACTTCCCTTGAGAACCGACAGGTTCATACAGCGACAACAGTAGGTTAGATGTCAGAACCGCGAGAACCGAACGTCGATATTTGGCCAACCCTGGAGGGGACCAGGCCAATGCTACTACATTGCTGAGGGACTGTTCGGCCCCGAGAGAGAAATTATCCCGATTCTGGGGATAGATCGTAGGCCACTCATTGTTTGTGAAAACATTGACACGGAAGCGAACTGAATGCCAATTATTTATGGGAGATTGGCTTGAGTCATGACCCAACCGTTCAGCTGCATTTTTTGGAGTCTAGTCCATATAAGCATGAGCTTGGATGGCAGGGATGCTAACACTGACTAAGATTTGGACGTGGTCTCCAGCGGCGATCGCGAGCTCCCCATCTTCCGACCACGAGAGACAGTCATAGCAAGAAGGGAAAAGCGGCAATTCTAAGGGACCTGACATTTCTTCACAAAGTTGAATACTCCCTTTTCTTCATGGCAGTTTTGACAAAACAAAGTCCCTAGAGTCGTGTCATGTACGGATATGGGAACCTCCGCGATGAGCTAGCTAGCTAGTCAACTGCATCAGTTGGAGAACGAAGAGCTCAGCTCTTCTATGGAGATGCTCGTTTAGGTTAGTCCCCCGTTTTGGGCCGTGGAACGTGCCGTGCAGTCACATGATGCAAGTGGTAACTTACCTAATCTAGTGGCGCCCCGAGACCTTTCCCGGATAGGCTAAGACTCAGCAGTGGGCTTCTGCAGGCCCAACAACGGCGGGCGGCGAGTGAGAGTTACTAACAGCTAACAGTACAAAAGTAACTAGTCGGATTCCTGACTAACGGCGCTCAGGAGGAGGCACGGCCCAACTCGCCGGTCTTTGGATCAACGCTCATCCTCCCGAGGTGGCTATCATCCTCTCTTGGATTCCACCACCCACTCTCGTCACACCTCAACTTCTCTTTCTTCCGCCTTCACCTGGGACTTTCGTGCCCCCTTCCCCTCCCCCATCATTTAGTCACTGCGCACTTGACCTTGCGGATCACTGCCAAACCTATCTGGCCCATCTGGCTCTCGTTGTTCCTTTCTACTATCTCAATAGCTCCCTCCCGAGACATCGCCAGTACCCCGCCGCAATGTCGACCTCTGCCCGCCGTCGTCTTATGCGCGACTTCAAGGTGCGTACCTTCACGAGCATGATTCTGAGCTTGTTTTTTATCCTATCTTTCGATTCTTTCTTTCATCACTTTTTACTTGCTCATCCTTTTCGACCTCCCGTCTGGTTCATATACTTGAAGGACACTTAAAAGTGTCCCGTCATTGGATACAGTCAATGGTTGCAAGAGCTAACTTGACATTCTTCTACGCAGCGTATGCAAACTGACCCCCCTGCTGGAGTTTCTGCATCCCCCGTGGCAGACAATGTCATGACCTGGTAAGCTGATCTAGTCACACATAATGACGCTCTTTTCAGTCTCTAATCTTGGTTGCGTTTAGGAACGCCGTCATCATCGGCCCTGCCGATACTCCCTTTGAAGACGGCACTTTCCGCCTTGTCATGCACTTTGAGGAGCAGTACCCAAACAAGCCTCCGGGCGTCAAGTTCATCAGTCAGATGTTCCACCCGAACGTCTACGGTACGGGCGAGCTCTGCCTGGACATCTTGCAGAACCGTTGGAGCCCAACCTATGACGTGGCAGCCATCCTGACCAGTATTCAGAGGTACGAACCCTTGTAGTCAAGGTGAAGCTGAAGATGAAACACAAAGACATACTAACGAGTGTTTTACTTGCGTGTAGTTTGTTGAACGATCCCAACACATCATCTCCGGCGAATGTAGAAGCGTCAAACCTTTACAAAGACAACCGAAAGGAGTACATCAAGCGCGTGCGCGAGACTGTTGAGAAGAGCTGGGAAGACTAGGATAGTATCAGCGTAGAGATGCTGCGGGTTATTGTTATGGGTTTTGGGTCGCTTTGGGGCACATGTTTATGATGAAGCAGACTTGTCGGTCTTCGGTGTGACGGAAGCTAACGGCAAGCTGCTGTGATCCGTTTCATGCGTTTGTGGGGGGACTCCTACCTTTTGGCATGATGGGAGTCCTAACACCATTTGATGACGTGCACAGCGTGGGGTTTTGGCGCCTGGTACATTTAATATTTCATTCGGTATTGTGGATAGCTGCATCATATTTTCAGTGTGTTTTTGCATAATGCATTAACTCTGTCGGGCTCTTGTTTTACCTTCGCTGCATGTCACATAACTCTTATCTCCTCACTGCGTTGGCTTTTTCTTGTCCCAGGCCAGTTAGTTTTCAACCCGAGCCCCTCATATGAGCCCTTCCCGTGATCCGACCCGTAAGGCAGGTACAGCACTCAAATGACTACTACATGCAACATTCCTCATGTTTGGCGGGGGATGGACATGCGGCACTGGTGAGGATGGTTAGGCGGGTGCCAAGAACACTCTAAAACGGAGGGGGGGGGAAGAGCCAGATGCCTGCCTGCTTTGCACCGGAACCACTTCCAGAGTTCCCATAACAATGCTGCATACCTAACCTCACACTCACCACCACCACACACATACACTTGTTTTGCTCCCCCCACCTTAGGCTGGGAAGACCCGTCCAAGACCACGTCACAACCCACTATCGTTGTCGATTCATGGGTGCTGGGGCCCTTTTTTTTACTTATTGCCCGATCTCTCTGAATTCTTGGGGCTTGCCGATAGCGCATTTATTGCACACGTTCGTTTCGGTCTAGTGCACGTGGACCCCTGACCCAAACAACACCGCCCACCGACCCTGGCCCTCCAAAGCAGACTCGCCTCATTGTTGATCTGAACGAAGTCCCTCCCCTCACTCAATCCCCTCCTCTCGGGGCTTTCTTTCCTTCTTGTCCTCTTTCGTCTTCATCGGTCTTTTTTTACCCCCTCTGTTCGGGTCAGACTGAACATGGCGTGAGTATCTCGTTGCTTCACCGCTTGACCGTGGGAGCGGTTAGGACTGATTTGTTTCGCTTGACAGGTCATCTGGCCCCAACGGCTCGAACAACACCATTAAGGGTGCGCATCAACTCCCCGCCGCGTCGTATACTTTTTTGAGTTTGGTGGTGTACCAAGACTGACGGTTCGCACACAGTGGTTGCGAGGTTCCGACCGCAAAACAAGGTTGAGTTGTCCTCTGGAGGAGAGCCGATTGTTGAATTCGAAAATGAGCAATCATGTTACGTTAATGTGAGCTTTTCTCTTCACGGGCGGGGTTTTGGCATAGGAGGCAAGTTCGCCTAGTGAGCTAACTCAGTCCAGGCCCGTGATGGCTCTGGAGCCTTCACCTTCGACCGCGTATTTCCTATGGACTCGAAACAAACGGATATCTTCGACTTCTCGATTCGACCCACCGTCGACGATATTCTGAATGGTTATAATGGAACGGTCTTCGCTTACGGTCAGACGGGTGCGGGAAAGTCTTATACCATGATGGGTTCGGATATCGACGATGATATGGGCAAGGGTATCATTCCCCGCATTGTCGAGCAGATCTTCGCCAGCATCCTCACGAGCCCCAGCAACATCGAGTACACCGTCCGCGTGAGTTACATGGAAATCTACATGGAACGAATTCGAGATCTGCTGGTGCCGCATAACGACAACCTTCCCGTTCACGAGGAGAAATCGAGAGGTGTCTATGTCAAGGGTCTTCTGGAGGTGTACGTCTCAAGCGTGCAGGAGGTGTACGAAGTCATGCGACGTGGTGGTACAGCAAGAGCGGTTGCGGCGACAAACATGAACCAGGAATCTTCTCGGTCCCACTCCATCTTCGTCATCACCGTTACACAGAAGAACCTGGAAACCGGCTCCGCGAAGAGCGGACAGCTGTTCTTGGTCGATCTGGCAGGTAGTGAAAAGGTTGGAAAGACGGGCGCTAGTGGTCAGACGCTCGAAGAAGCGAAGAAGATCAACAAGAGTTTGAGTGCTCTTGGTATGGTCATCAACGCGCTGACGGACGGCAAATCCACGCATATCCCATACCGTGACTCCAAGCTCACTCGTATCCTGCAAGAAAGTTTGGGAGGTAACTCGAGAACGACCTTGATTATCAACTGCTCTCCCAGCAGCTACAACGATGCGGAAACCATCTCCACCCTGCGTTTCGGTGTGCGCGCCAAGGCAATTAAGAACAAGGCGAAGGTCAACGCCGAACTGAGCCCTTCGGAACTGAAGGCGCTTCTGCGCAAGGCCCAAAGTCAGATGACGAATTTCGAAACATACATTTCACAACTCGAGTCTGAAGTACACGTGTGGCGCAGTGGCGAGGCTGTTCCCAAGGATCGTTGGACCCCCGCCAGAGGGGATGCTGTGAGCGCCGCGAAGGCCGAGGCTCGTGCGCCACGGCCCGGCACGCCCTCCCGTTTCCAGGACACGCCTCGATCCGAGACTCCTCGTCCTGAGTCCAGGCTTGGCGACCGCTCTAGTACACCTAGCCTTGTTCTCGAGAAGGACGAGAGAGAGGAGTTCCTTAGACGCGAGAATGAGCTCCAGGACCAGATCGCGGAGAAGGAGTCGCACATTGCGAACGTCGAAAGGGGTCTCCGTGAGGCACGGGAGGAGTTGAGGAGCATGAAGGAGAACTCCGCCCGCTCAGGCAAAGACAACGATAAGTTGACTACCGAGGTTAATGAGCTTCGTATGCAGTTGGAGAAGGTGTCCTACGAAAGCAAGGAGGCCGCCATCACTATGGACAGCCTCCGCGAGGCTAACTCCGAGTTGACCACCGAGTTGGACGACGTTAAGCAGCAGCTTCTCGACGTTCGAATGAAGGCCAAGGAGACCAGCGCTGCACTGGACGAGAAGGAGAAGAAGAAGGCCGAAAAGATGGCGAAGATGATGGCCGGGTTCGACTTGGGCGGTGACGTGTTCTCCGATAACGAACGCAAGCTTCAGGACTTGATCCAGCGGGTCGATTCCTTGCACAAGGTCAGCGAAGCCGGCGAGACGATCGCGCCTGACGACCTTATGGAGCTGCGGGCGAGTCTCCTGGAGACCCAAGGGTTCATCCGTCAAGCCGAGCTCACGATGAACGACCGGGGAGATTTCAATGAGCTGCAGGACAGCCGTAGAGCGGAAGTTGAGCAGAAGCTGGCGAATCTCGAGCGGGACTATGAGAACCTTCTGGAGCGGAACCTGGGCGAGGGCGATGTGGAGGAGATCCGGGAGCGGTTGGAGAAGGTGTACGTGACCCGGAAGGAGGCCGAAATGCAGGCAGTCACGGACCTTAGGAACGAGATTGCACGCAAGGATGATGAGCTGGATAAGCTGCGGCTGTCCCTTGCAGACTCTCAATCCCGGGTCTCGACCAACGGCGCCGCCGGCAAGAACCTGCAGCAGCAGATTGCCGACTTCGATGCCATGAAGAAGTCGCTCATGCGCGACCTCCAGAACCGCTGCGAGCGCGTTGTGGAGCTTGAGATCTCGCTGGACGATGCTCGGGAGCAGTATAACAACGTTCTCCGCTCGTCGAACAACCGGGCTCAGCAGAAGAAGATGGCGTTCCTGGAACGCAACTTGGAACAGCTGACTCATGTGCAGCGGCAGCTGGTAGAACAGAACAGCAGCCTGAAGAAGGAGGTTGCTATTGCGGAGAGGAAGCTCATTGCCCGGAACGAGCGGATTGCGAGCTTGGAGAGCCTGCTCCAGGAGAGCCAGGAGAAACTCACCCAAGCGAATCACCGGTACGACCCTCTCCACTCCTTTGATGAAACCACGAAAGCGGGTTGCTGACTAGATGATGATACAGATTTGAAGCCCAACTCACTGCGGTCAAAGAGCGACTCGAAGCTGCGAAGCAGGGCTCTACGAGGGGTCTTCCAAGTATGGATGGCAGCGGCGGTTTCAGTTTTGGCGGCTCGAGAATCGCAAAGCCGCTCCGAGGCGGCGGCGGAGGGAACGAGAGCAGTGCTCCAGTTGCAGGAGTCCAGTCGCAGGAGACTGGGAAGCGTACCAGCTGGTTTTTCGATCGACGATGATCCACGATTTCTCTTTTGCTGTCTCTTTTACCCATTCTCCGAAAATATTTGAAACCCTGTTGACATGTCGATATCCTCGCGTACGGTCATTGACATGACGTTGGATGAACGCGTTCTATATTTTATTTCATGATTGTTTCTTTATTTTTTATCCCTTTCCATTTCCTCCCCTCGTTTTGAGATCTGGCACATTCGGAGTCCCCAGCCTATGTTACGAGAGGCCTATGGTTCTCACCGATACCCTTGTACATGACAGATAGAAGTGTTCACGGCCGCAGTAGTTGATTGCGACAGTGGGTGGATGATAGAAATGACACGTTAGATTATGGAATGGTGTTCCGTAGCTACTTTCTCAATCTATTGCTATGTTATCTGGTTCAAGTTCGCACTTTGCTGGTTCCGTGCTTGCAGACCAGATCCCAACTTTCCACGTGATGACATGCATGATAGAGATGATCCCTTCCAAGATATTTTTCACCGCCACAAGATCTTATAGGCATTCCATGCCCGTCTGATTACCTACTGTGGTATGTGAGTAATAAGCTTGTGGTAGTGTTCTGGGCCTGGGCCATAGAGCAGTGAAGTTAAGAGTTCATCCCTTCGAACGGACTGGAGGTCCCCTGTCAGGTGATATCGCCATCGCTCCATGTTTCCCCTACTGTCGCTCCTCCCTTCCTCCAGCTAAGCTCTACAATGGAGTCATGTCAGAGCCATCCAAAGCTTATCCCCTTGCCCGTCCATGTGCATGTCGGTTCGTTTACAGGAATGTCAACAACATGTCCTCCCTTGATACAGGATTCAGCAGCCCAATGGGCCTGTACGTATGCGCCGCTCATGGGGAATGTGCTTAGACAAGAGAGACCACCTGCCCACACACTGACAGGTTTCTCTTCACTCTTTTGAGGGTCCGCATTCCTCTTACACTGGATTCAATGCTTCGCCTTTCTATCGAACCTTGGACTGACAGTGCTTATTGGTCGATACACCCCACACCAGACGAGATTTGAGAGATCGATCGCGCATCCTGACAACACATACATCAGATCCACGCATTAGTTGCATTGCGGCTGGCTGAAGGTCTCTTTAAGGAGTATTAAAGGAGACCCTTGCAATAGTTTGCGACACTTCCATACCAAGACCGCTACGCTGTGATTATCTCCACGCCAATACCCTTGGAAACAGCCATTTCAGCCACATAGTGCTTCACGAAGGCCAGCAGATTTACGACACCGTATATTCTGAGCACAATCCAGAACCATGACTATCAGCACCAAAGCAACGGCGACCGAGGATCGCTTCTCGAAGCCACTTATTGTCATTGCCTGCGCAACAATAACGGGGCACACTCTCCCATTACTGCCTCACGCCAACGAGCTGACCAAACAAGGCTTCGATGTCTCCTTCATTGGTGGTCCCGAGTTCGAAACCCTCATTCGCAAAACTGGCGCCACCTTCTACCCAATAGAACATTTATACTCCCAGGAGAGCCTAGACTACCTGGAATCAATTCCTGATCGCAGCGCCCGCATTATCTGGGGCCTAAAGAGATTTTTCATCGACTTGACCGCATCCAGAATGAAGTCACTACAAACCGTCCTGGAAACTCTCCGCGAAAAGCACCCAAATCGCGAGGTCGTTCTCATCCAGGAGCTCGGCTACATGGGAACCTGACCATACCTGCTTGGTGCACCTCCACCCAAAGGTTACAAGCAGTTTCCCAAGACCCTCACATTCACCACCACACCGTTGCTTGTCACAAGTGTCGATACAGCACCGTTCGGGAGCGGTTTAGCTCCCGACTCCAGCGATGACGGCCGAGCCCGCAACGCTGCGTTGTACGCCGCCGAGAAAATTATCCGCGATGAGCTAGTTGACCATAGCAACAGCGTGTATGCATCGCTTGGAGCAACCATGAAAGTAGACCAGTGGTTATTCGACCTGTGGAGCACCCATACCATCCTCCTGCAGCCCTGTTCCCCAAGCTTGGAGTACCCGCGCAGCGACCTTTCACCGAAAGTCCGGTTCATTGGCGGCACACCATGCAGGAAAACTGACCCTTCCACACCCCTGCCTCAATGGTGGGGTGAGTTGGAGACGAACATGCACGCGGCGACCCCGAAGAAAGTCGTCTTCGTTACGCAGGGTACTGTCAAAACTTATTATAAGAACCTACTCATTCCCACCATACAAGCATTTGCCGACCGACCAGATGTCATGGTCATCGGCGTGCTGGGAGTGAAAGGCGCAGTATTGGACGAGGATCACAAGATACCCGACAACGCCAAAGTCATTGATTATCTCTCATATGATGCGGTGCTTCCGTACGTTGATGTCTTCGTGACAAACGGCGGGTATGGCAGCTTTATGCATGGCGTGATGAACGGAGTGCCCATGGTATTAGCCGGGACAGTTCGTAAGTGTCCTCATCCTCTTCTTTGAGACACACCAAGTCCCTAACCATTATTTCTACCTCTATAGAAGACAAAGGCGAAGTATGCATGCGCGGAGAATGGGCCGGAATCGGAATCAATCTACGAACCGATACTCCCAGCCCAGAGACCATTCGAGGGAGTGTAGAGCGTATATTGAGCGACCCCAAATACAAGGCTAGTTCAGTGGTAATCCAGCGGGAAAACGAGGAATTGGATAGTGTTAGTTCACTACGGCGGTATATCCTCGAAGAAGAGTAATCACATTCAAAGTTCAAAACAAGAAAAGAAATCATCAAAAAGCAAGCATTTATACTATATCCCAATGATATAGTTAGGCAAATGCCAATAAATAATCTTCCACAAATAAGTGAGCACCAATCGCCACCCACCAACGAAAACTAAAGGCAAGATGGCCGAGTTGGTCCAAGGCGTCAGGTTTAGGTCCCACCTAAATAAATCAGCTTGTTTATTAAAGCTTCCTGATCATCTTTCGATGGCGTGGGTTCGAATCCCACTCTTGTCATTTTTTCACATCTCTGTTGCTTTTCTTTTTCTTAGTTTCTATCTAATTAATCACCTGCTGTTGCATTTAGTGTTTGTTGATTTGGTTTTGAGGTTCTATGTTGGTGTTTTGTTGAAGGCATGAAGAGAACTGCTTCGGTTTTTGGTTGTATGCGGTGAGTTATTTAGTATTACTTAGTGTCATTTGGTGAGGAAGGTGTGTACTTCTGGGCTGATTGGTAGTATATTCTATAATGTATACGAGCGAGGCCTTAGGCACTCATTATACAGTTGTTTGGTGGGTACATTGATTGATTACTTCTAGAGGTAAGTATGTAGTACCAACAAGGATAGGACCATCAATCGCCGGTAAGTATAAACAGCATTGCGCGTCCTTTCTTAGATTCCTTGAGTGTAGTTTGAATTCTATTCCATGGAAAATGGAGATGAGATTTCTATTCTATATACACCATATATTACACATAAACAAGCAGAGCGGAGAGGGGTATCATCTACTACGTATCGTACAAAAGCAACGCCTATACCTTTACTCACGACTTACTCTCTTTGACTGTTATCATGATTTCACTCAAATACGGATCCTCAGCCAACTCCTTGGCCGTCTTCCGGTTCTCAGGCAGCCATTGCAAGATATTCCTAGCGAAGGCCAGAAATTCGTCTTTCTCTGTACCCTTGAGACAGGTCACTGTGTCTTCGAGAGTCTGATTTTCTGGGATGAGGTGCTTGTGTAGGAATTCACCTATATGCCGTGGTGGTGGTTTTTGTGAGTATAGTATCTATACCGGATCATGAATAGTAGGTAGGGTTGGTGTCAACTCACCATTATCATCAAAGAATGGCCCACCGAACCACTCGGCAGGCGAGTTACAAAGCTTTCCGTCTGGATTCCGTAAGCCAATGCCGAATGTTCGGTTGAGTCCTTCTTTCTCCCGGGCTATCAATTCCTGAGGTGGCGGGCCCAGAAAGGCTATCATCTGCGCGAGATGAGCTGCCGGGGTGCCTCTTAGGTTTGAGTCGCGGGCGTTGGAGAAGAGTATTTTGTCTTCGATCAGTTCCCACATCTGTATGTCAACACATTGTTAGTATGTAGTAGTTTGGTTAATGAGGTGGGCGGGATACCATTGCTCCTAGGTTCCATATGTCGGCGCTGTATGACCAGCCCGCGCCGAGGAGTACCTCGGGTGCGCGGTAGCAATCCGGTTGGATTGGCCAGGTGTTTGTGACGTTGTCGAGTTGGAATTGAGACGATCCAAAATCAGAGAGAACTGGAAGGAAGTCAAGGGATTTGGGGCGGCCGAAGTTGTTGTGGCAGAGATAAACGGTATAGTCGCCGATTGTCTTTTGGGACATAGGTTTTGATGGTTGGGACTGGGCAAAGCTGTGTAGGACTGAAGGGTCTTCGATGGTTATGAGGATGTTGGCCGCTTTTATATCTATGTAGTTGTAAAGCATGAGGATGATGCTGCTGGATATATAGTGGGGATTGTGAGTGGTACTAGCCGGTATGGATAATCTTGCATTCGGAGTGCAAGTAGTCGAGTCCTATCAGGAGGAACTTCATGTAGGCTTTGAAGATGTCAAGAGGAAAGGTGTCGTTGATGAACCGGCCTTGTAGAAGGGTCAAGGGCTCTCGCAGTGGCTCGTAGGCCAGACAGATGTGTGTCCCATTGGGGCTTTTCTCTTCGAAAGAATCAATGAAGGTTCTCAGAATAGAGTGGCCTAGATGTTTGAGATTGGCGTCGCGGATGCATTGTTCCATATGGAGTTCATGACTTTCGTGGCCTTCTGCGTAGTTGCAGGTGCCGATTTTCAATGTCAGGTAGCGTTCTGGTAGCCATTTCCATCTAGTACGGACCGGGCATTAGCGCTGTGGAGATGAGAAGGGGTTGGCGGCATACTGTTGGAGATCGCGGACAAGCCAGACAGTGGAGCTCGTTCCCCAGCCAAGCTTGGTCAGAGCTTCATAGCGATCATTGAAAATGTATCCAGGCTTAACGGGGAAATAGGCACTGGGCTTGAAGCGTGGAACCTTCTCCTCTTCGATCTTGGGTTCGGGAGGAAGCTCCAGGCCAGTGCCATGGAACGAAGTGCGGGACTTGCGCACCAATGCTGACCATGCACGAAGTGATTGGGCGAATCGCTTAGCCATGTTCGACTTACTTAGGGTAATGGAAGTAGATCGCGCGGGGAGTTGCATGATGGAGTGAGAAAGCTGAAAGGAGAAGGAGCTGTCACCGCGCATCCCTACATGGCTTATATAAGCCTGTCATACAATGGATCCAGTCTGACTCCCTCTTTTTTACGCTCTCTTCGTTCAAGTTGATGACGATGACACGGATGAATTTTGGACAGGCTTGCCGGAGTCTCAGCTTTTTTTGTCTGGGCTGACATGCTAATAGCGACGGGGCGTGCCTTAGTGCTTACTAGATGTCTAAATGGGAGCACTAACACCTGCTAGCGGAGCTTCATTCATCCATAAGGCTGCGGAGAGCTCAGAAATATAAAGCGCAGTCATGTCTCCAGGCTGCCAATTCTTTTCTTTCATCAGTATCTCATCAATTGTAGATAAATATCACCAAACGCTAATAACAGCACATACTCAATGGCATCTTCTTTCCAATCCCCGTTCCCTCTTCCTGGAGTCAAGCACGGCCAGCGCATCCTCACATCCGTAATCGAAGCCAGAGCCAAAGCAAACAACACCCCAGCATGGGTTTCCGTTCCGATCAATGATCAGGACCTGTCACAGGGATTTCGCGACATCAGCTTCAAGGAGCTGAACAACGCGGCCAACCATGCAGCCCACTGGTTGAAGCAGAACCTGCCTCCGACGTCCGAGCCATTCCAATGTTTTGCCTATGCTGGACCGAAGGATCTTCGATACCAGATTCTGGCCGTGGCAGCGGCGAAGGTGCAGAAGGTGGTACGTACAATCCCCCGACATTCAAAAGTATTCATTCTGAGCATATCATAGATGGTACTTCCCTCGCCGCTAGTCACAGCCGAAGCGCAGCTGCACATTCTCAAGAAGAAAGGATGCACGGTCTACTTGAGACCGTCGTCAATGGAAGCGCCTGTTGCAGAGATCCTAAAAGCAGCTCCACATGTCCAAACAGTCACGGTGCCAGACATCGAAGCCTTCATGCAAGAGGCAGAAGCAGAACCAGTCAACTACAGCAAGACATTCGAGGAAGGCAAAGCTGATCCATGGCTAGTATTCCACACATCAGGCACAACAGGTAACTCCCTCCCCCTCTTCCCACTCACGATAAATACAATATACTTACACCCCCAGGAAACCCCAAACCAGTAACCTACACGCACGAAATGATGGCCGGAGCAGACATTGTCGCCTCACTCCCAGACATCGGCGAGACCCAAATCCACCACTACGCCCAGCGCCGCTGCTACACCCCACTACCCTCGCTCCACGTACGCTCCCATACCCCATCCCCCATAAACAACCTCAGCCCCCTAACTCAACCCCAAACCACAGTTCGTAGGCATGGCCCTCTCCCTCTCAATGACAACCTTCATCCACATGACCGCCGTAATCGGGCCCCCAACCCCACCGACACCCTCAATCATAATCTCCCTCCTCAAGCACGGCAACATCACCACAGCCATGTTCCCCCCGTCCCTAATCGACGCCCTAACCCTCACCCCAGAGGGCCTCTCCGCCCTCCATTCCCTCCACTACATCCACTACGCCGGCGCCCCCTTATCTTCCAAAACCGCCTCCCTGCTACTCCCCCACGTCCCCATAATCCCCGGAGTCGGCAGCACCGAATCCGGCGGGTACTTCACAGAACTGCACCCCCACCAGAGCGACGCATGGGACTACCTAACCTTCAACAAGCAGCACACAGGCGTAGTATTCGAACCTCGCGGTCACGACTCAACCACCGAATCCCAACTGCACGAACTCGTCTTCATCCGCTCCGCTATCTGCGCCCTCCAACCCATCTTCAAACTATACCCGGACCTCACACGCTTCGAAACGAAGGATCTATGGCAAGAACACCCGGTTCACAAGGGACTATGGAAGATTATTGGGAGGGTAGATGACTACGTGTACTTATCGCACGGGGACGGGGTTAATGCTGCGCTGTTGGAGCAGGAGATTGTGGCGCATCCGGGGGTCAAGAATGCGTTGATTGGGGGACATGGAAGGGATAGGCCGGTGTTGGTGGTTGAAGCTGTGGAGGGAGTGGATGTAAAGGACGAAGGGAAGAGGAGGGAGTTTGTGAAGTCGTTGAGGCCGTATATCGAAAAGGTTAATGGACGGTGTCATGAGTGTGTAAGGTTGGGGATGGAGAGGGTGGTTGTGGCGAGCAGGGAGAAGCCGTTTGTGTTGACGGGGAAGGGCAGTGTCGCGCGATGGAGGACGTTGGAGTTGTATGAGGGGGAGATTGGGGAGGTTTGTGCGTAGGATTGATTTAATAGCTTGGTAGGGGGTGGATGTTTAAAATCCGAAGGGTAATTGAAAGAGTCATGTGGGTGTGAGCAGTTGCGCTGTTTTGATGGTAGGCGGGTTTTGTTCTCCGCTGATATAGATCTACAAGTAATTATAGATTGCAGCTGTGCGGGAATTGATATTCCTAGTGTTTCGGTTATATACACCCAACTCCTGAAAATCTGGCCCATGCAACCAATCATTCGTTTGTTACAGTAGACCAACCCGTTACTTTTTCGCATATACACATCAATTCAATCCAATCCAGCAGAATCATGTCCCATCTTCGCCAAACAAATCAATGGGTATCTAGATATCCGTCAACCAAGCCATCCCAAAACTCAATGCAAGCACGCCAAGACAATTCACAACTCCAAACGCGCTATACATGAACTAATTTACAAATCAATCAACAATACGCACCCGCACGCCGTCCATTCCCATAGACGATGTCAACTGATCCATCCAGTCCGTCGTCGGACCCTGCTTATAGTCCGGGGTGATGAGCGACTCCACAACGAGCTGGGGATGTCCCGGCGAGCTCG